TTTAGCCAAGTGTGACCAAGGCTGGCCTTGAACTCATAATTCTCCTGCCTCAGCCTCTTCAGCACATTCTACTGTCTACACAACACCACAACCAGCAGGGGTCATTGCAGGGAAAACCAGCTTTAAAAAAAAATCTTAATGTGCCTGGAATGATAGGGTACACCTTTAACCTTAGCATTCAGGAGGCAGAAGCAGGTGGATCTCTGTGAGTTCTAAGTCTACATAGCAAGTTCCAGGTCAACCAGAGACATGTGGTGATACCCAGCCTAAAAAATAAAAATAGGGCTAGAGAGATGGCTCAGCAGTTAAGAGCACTGGCTGCCCTTCCAAAGAACCTGGATTTGATTGCTATAGGTGGCTCACAACTGTCTGTAACTCCGATGCCTGGAGAACCAACACCCTGGGCATCAGGAACACACAACATACACAGACATACATGCAAGCAAACGCCCATACACATAAAACTGAAATAAAAATATTTGTAAAACATAGGGGGGCTTGCTGAAGGACTACTGAACTCGATGTTGTATTTACATATCTATATCTGTATAAAATAATGATTATAAATGTTTATTTAAAAAGGTAAAATGCAAATGTGAATTTAACAAGAAGCTGTAGATTTTCAATTAAGTAAAACATAGCTCTCTGAACAGATGAAGATAGGTCTCTTATGTATCCCAGAACCTAATCAATATTTATATGTATAATTCAGCTATCATTTGGCTTAAAAGGGCTTATTGGGAAATGTTATCATTTATACTATTTTCTACAGAGAAAATATTTTACTGTTTAAAATAAAAAGAGAAGTTGTGCCGGGCAGTGGTGGCGCACGCCTTTAATCCCAGCACTCGGGAGGCAGAGCCAGGCGGATCTCTGTGAGTTCGAGGCCAGCCTGGGCTACCAAGTGAGTTCCAGGAGAGGCGCAAAGCTACACAGAGAAACCCTGTCTCGAAAAACCAAAAAAAAAAAAAAAAAAAAAAAAAAAGAGAAGTTGTGTATTTTCAACACTGTAAAGAAACTTCTTTGTTACAAATAAATATTTATGCTTCTAAAAAAAATAGGGGGGGCTGGAGAGATGGTTCAGTGGTTAAGAGCACTGACTTCTCTTCCGGAGGTCCTGTGTTCAATTCCCAGCAACCTCATGGTAGCTCACAACCTTCTATAATGAGATCTGGTGCCCTCTTCTGGCATGAAGGCATACATGCAGGCAAAGCACTCACCAAGAAAAAAATGAAAAATAAATAAAATAAAAGATTTTAAAATAAATTAATTAAAAATTAAATAATTTAAAATAATGTTAATGTATTTTTACATTTTGTTTGAAATAAATATTGCTGTTCTTAGAAAAGCAACTACTTTTTTTTTAATTAATTCTGGGCAGAGTTGACTAAAAGTAGACAACAGAACAGGGCCAGTCAGTTGCTCCAGTAAAACTCCATAGTACCCTTGGGTAGTGAATCGCCCCTCCTTCTCCCCCTACCCCATTGTGGAATATTAGCTTAAGATATGTTACATTTGCTTATGCTCTGGAACATTTGTTTAATGATGCAAAGATGTGTTATATTCTTTTATGTTGCATTTGTTTAACTCTGTAAAGCTGTGTTACTGTGCCTGTCTAAAACACTTGATTGGTCTAATAAATGGTTGAATGGAATGGCTATTGGCTAGGCAGGAGAGCGAGGACAGGCATGGCTGGCATACAGAGATAATAAATAGGAGAAAAGAGAAGGGGAGGAATGAGAAAAGGAGAAGGAGAGGAGGATACCAGGAGCCAGCCACCCAGCAACACAGCCACACAGCCAGCCTTAGAGTAAGAAGGAAAGAAAGAGATATAGAATAAAGAAAGGTAAAGCCAGGCTGGAGAGATGGCTCAGAGGTTAAGAACCTCTTCCAGAGGTCCTGAGTTCAATTCCCAGCACCCACATGGTGGCTCACAACCATCTGTAATGAGATCTGGCGCCCTCTTCTGTATACATAATAAGTAAATAAATAAATCTTTAGAAAAAAGGCAACCTTTGCCCTCCATGGTGTGAAGATGAAATAATTTTAAAAAAAAAAAAAAAAAAAGAAAGAAAGAAAGGTAAAGCCCAGAGGCAAAACGGTAGACTGGATAATTTGTCAAAGCTGGCTAGAAACAAGCCAAGCTAAGGCCAGGCCTTTGTAAGTAAGAATAAGTTTCAGTGTATTTATTTGGGAGTTGGGTGGCGGGCCCCAAAAGAGTAAGAAAAATAAAATAAAATAACAACACCCCTCCATGTGTGTGCTGAATACAATCAAAAGGAGAAACACTAATTGTAACTGAATGATCTCCATGGTCATTGCTTCCTGATTTTATTTTATTTTATTTTTGAGCTGAGGATCGAACTCAGGGCCTTGTGCGTGTTAGGCAAGTGCTCTACCACTGAACTAAATCCCCAACCCTTGCTTCCTGATTTTGGAGCACCATTGTCCCACTTATGACAGCCCCGTGAGCTCAGACATGACTAGCTTCTCTTTAGATGCCATGCCTCTCCCCTTCCATTGACAATTATCTTTAAATAGTCTTCTCTAAAACTGTGCCTTTCTTTGATTTATTTTTTCTGTGAATAAACTCTAGTTACCTTAATTGAATTTATTGTTCATCTCTAAGTAGTTATTCTCAAAGAAACAACCTCTTTATGTGCTTTTTATGTTGAAGTCGTAATGGTCGGTGGAAATAAGCACATATTTATTACTGCAAAAGTGAAATGCTGCAATGACTATTGCAGATGCTATTAATTTCATGTCCCAGTAACTGAGTGCTTTCAAACAGTTAGGTGTGGAAGGGACTCTGACAACCATTTGGAGTCTTAAGAAAGGGTTATTAATTAAGTAACTTCTTGGTTGGTTGGGTTTGTTTATTGGGTTTTTGTTTGTTTGTTTTTCAGAATGCTATGTAGCCCAGGCTTGCCTGAAACTTAATCTGTAGCCAGACAAATCTTAAACTCATTATCTTCCCACCTCACTGATGCACGTACATAGCATTCACTCACTGACTCTGATCTCCCGAGTACTAGGGCTGTATGGATGGACCACCATAGCCAGCTCCTGAGCACCTTCACAAAGACAACATGGGAGCCTTGGGACTCTGTATACCATTCGTCTGTATGTGAAAGAAAACCTGGAGTCAGAGTAACTTAAACACGATAAGAGATATTTCCCTCTTATTTTTTTTTTAAAGATTTATTTATTTATTTTCCAATGTCTGTGTGAGTACCTGCAACGTATCTATGTGTACCACATGAGTGCCTGGTGCCTGTGGAGGCCAGAAGAGGGTATCAGATCCCCTTGGAACTGGAGTTACAGGTGGCTGTGAGTCATCTGGTATGAATGCTGGGAACTGAACCCAGCCCTCTGCAAGAGCAGCAAATGTTCTTGACTGCTAAGCCAGCTCTCCAGCCTTGCTACTTCTCTCTTATATAAGACCAAATGTAAACAATCCAGGACTGGTATGACAACTGGTGTCAGATAGAGGATCCTACTAAATCCCTGCTCCCTAGGGAACACACAGCTTTCACTCACTGTACAATCTCAAGCTCAGCAGTCTCGTCTAAAATCAAGCCAGCGGGAAGGGACAAAAATAAGAATAATACAACCCTCTGCTTCTTACAGATGCTTCCATAGGGAACGGAGGGATGGCTCAGTGGTTAAGAGTGCTTGCTGCTTTTGAAGATGACCTGGGTTTCATTCCTAGGACTGCGTGAGGGTGAAGTTCACAACCACCTGTAACTCCTATTCCATGGAATCAAACACCCTCCTCTGGCCTCCACAGGCACCAAGCGGGCATACATGCAGGAAAAAATACTCATATAAAATAAAAAGTGTGGTGGCATACACCTTTAATTCCAGCACTGGGGATGCAGAGGATGGCAGATCTCTGTGAGTTCAAGGCTAGCCTGGTCTACATAGCTAGTTCTAGGACAGCCAGGGCTACAGACACCCTGTCCTAAAATAACAAATAAATGAAGGAAGGAAGGAAGGAAGGAAGGAAGGAAGGAAGGAAGGAAGGAAGGAAGGAAAGAAAAGAATGCTGAGAAGAATTGCATGTTATTTTTACATTGCTAATTTCACATTGATAATTGGTAGCTTCCTCGTGTTACTGTTGAAGACACTACTCTGAATAAGAAATTTGCCTGTGTGGTCAGACCCTAGCTAGACACGTGCAACCTGACTTCAGTCTCTGCACCTTGACCACTGTGTCCTTCTAACCCTCTCTTGCCCACTGGACCAGGAACACTCCTGAGGAGGGCAGGACCTAGCCCTGCTGCATTCATCTTGGCGCTGTACCTCACAGGAGTCAGTCCTGCCTGATATCTTCCTCAAATTGTGGCCTAAATAATCTGTGAGAAGTCACTCAGGCATCTCGTCTTCCTTCAGCCTCTGTAGTCACAGAAGCTGTTTCCCAGCGTCCTTCTGCTCCTCATGTGTGTGATCAAGAGGACTGGTACAGGTGCTGAGGTCACCAGTCTCCATTCCTCCCTCACACCCCACGTGTGATGCTCTTTATTTGTGTCACAGGGGTACCGGGAAGAAGTCTGTCTTCCTCCTGGTCACAGAGTCTTGCTGAGCCTCGGGCTTCACACAGATTCCGCATTCTGTGAGCCAGGCTGCAAAGACCTCCGTGCCTGCTCCAGGGCGGAGGCCGGAAGACTGACAGCCAGAGTCCATGTATACAGGGATGAAACACATTTCAGGGGTTCTCCAGTGGCTTTAATTGGAAACGTGATGCCTTTAAGCTGTGGTACAAGCCTGGCTCTGTGGGGCCACATCTGGCTCCCAAGGATCAGTGGGGGAATAAATACATCACAGAGATTGAAATGGGAAACCCAGGGTCCCTCTTCTCCCAGCCTAGAATGTCTCAAAGTATGGCAGCTGGATAAACATTAGTAGATTGTCAGCGACACCAACTTATAGGTTCTTTTCTTCCTTTGACGTTCGATCTCCCTCCCGTGCGGGGATCCTTTCCAAACAAAACAAAGCACTATGTGGGATCAAAACACACCTGTCTGTAACTGCACTAAACATCTGCAAGTGGGAAACTTCTAGAAACAGATGCTGAGGTGGCCACACAGACATCTAGGATGGAGGAGGCCACCTGCCCGAGCCCACTTACCCCCCAGCCCTAACTCTGCACTGTCACAGATTTGGTTCCCTAAGATTCTCGTGCTTGGGTCTAAGGCTGGCTTCTTTGGGGCCCAGCACAGGGCTGTGAGCAGTGACAGCCGTTTGGAAATCCCAAATTTCTACCGCCTGTTCTTCCTATGAACAGCTGAAGACACTGTCACAGTCATAATACTGTCTCATCACCCTCTCCCCAAGCCCCGAGCAGGAAAGGGGGAAGACCCCTCCCCTTCACATTAGAGGGAAATGTGAGGCCAAGGACTTACTCACGGCCCCACTATACTGTAAAGAATTCTCCAAGGTTGCTACCTTTTCCAGACAGAGAGGGGCTCTATTTCCTAGTTCATGTTGCTAAGATACAGAAAGACAAAGGTTTGACTGATTCTCTACATTTTTCTAATTGTATCTTTTTTTTTCTCTCCCACATGGGCATTTCTAGATTTGAGATCTCTTTCATAAAACTGGGCTTTGGGGTTCCTCCCAGACTCCTCCCTCCCCTCCCCAGTACAGAGCAAATAGCACCTGGATCCGGCTTGGCCCTCTGCCCTCATAACCCATCTGGCCGTGAGCTCTATTGGGTGGAAGACACTATGTAGGCTGTGGCGATGTACTTCTTGCCGTTTCCATAGGTGGTCTTATCCCAGGTGTAGGTCTGGATGGCCAAAGGATAGCCACCCAGGCTTAAGTGGCACCTGTAGGGAAAGACAGTGCATCAAATCAGCAGAACCCACCACTTCACCCACCTCTGTTCCAGATGTGAAAGACCTAGTCATCCCCAGCAGAAGGGTTCCAGCCTCCCAGACCGTCGCCTGCATCCCGGAGCCTCTACCCCAACTCCCTGTGTTCAGCAAGCTTTCCAAATCCGGACCTCGGTGTCTCTCTGCCTATGGGACCATGCTCCTCATCCTTCCCAGAGAAGTATTCTGAACGCCTCAATTCGAGTGCTTCAGAAATTAGGGGTTTGCTTTCTGCTTTGGAAGTCATAGGACCAGGCACTTTGGAACGTGTCCGTAAACCCAGCACTCAAGAGATTGTGAGGCAAGAGGATCTGTAACCCCGGCTACATAGTGAGACAAAGCCCCTCCCACAAAAATAAATAAATAAAGTATTAGGACCCAAACAAATTCTCAAGTGACAGAGGCCAGTTATTATCAACTGTTCTCTTTGGGACTCTGGTTCTCCCAAACAGCCAATGGGGGCTCAGGGATCCAGGTCAACTGCAATGCTGACATCTCGGTAGCTTAAGATCCTGGATGCTTCACTTGAAGAGGAAGGAAGGAAGGTAGATGATTCTGCTGCTCGGATGAAGACCGGCAGCTACCAGTCTAATGGAACCACTTCACTGTCGAAGGTCAGAACAGTAATTCCTCCGACCTTCCCAGCCGGAGTGGCGGACTCAAGACGCCATCCGAGATGATGATAGTTGGAGGCCCCCCTACTGCTCTAGTCCCTTGGTCACCCCCATACTCACTTTTTGCCTGGCCTGGTGATGAAGCACAGAGAGTAGAGGGCGAACTCGAACTCAGGGCTGCTGCCAATGAAAGCTGAGCCCACTTCCTTGTAATAGCCATCCCAGTTGAACTGCATGGCTAGGACATCAGGGTAGGAATCCCACTGCAGGAGAAAGAACGGCAAAGGTCACGTGATAGAACCCGGCGCCCACAGTCAGCTAGTGTTTATGGGGGTCCTTGAGGAGCCTTCTGGAGACACTGGCTTCTTTAAAGAGATAGACAGGACAGAGTACCCTGCAAAGTGTCCGAGTCCCAGTCAGACCCCCTGTCTGAAGCTACCAGTGGCAATGAGGTCAGAGTAACATCCACATGATCCACCCGGAGTGCAGGGACACAGCTGTTCCCTATGGCCCTCCACATGCAAGAAGCCAGTTCATTGCCCCAAATCATTTCCTGGAATAGGGCAGCAAAAGTTTCATATGAAACGTGGAGCTTAGCTCAGTTAGCCAGGGTGGACATTCCTGCCACCCTCTAAGGACGTTCAGGCAGGGAGTAAACACATGCTTTGTTCTCTGGTCTAAGAATCGGGCCTTGGCCTCCCACCTGGATGTGGTACCCTCTGTCTCCTGTCCCTGGCAGTTTTAGAGGCTTCACTGTTGGGACTTGGGGTGGAAATCTGCTCTCTAGCAGATGAGGATATGGTATCCATATTCACTCTTGGGTGGCTGTGGAGGGCCAGAGTGAGAAGCAAGTCCGATTGCTTGGAAGCCAGAGGAAGAGCGGGAAGTCTGGGCACCCGGGAGGCCCCTCCAGCCCAGACACTCACAGGCCCATCGTAGTTGTGACTGTAATAGTCAAGCAGACCCTCCTTCTCCTGCAGGTAGAAGCGGATCCAGTTGTGGAAGCCAGTGACCTTGCCCTTTTTCACTTCGCCTGTAATAAAGAGTCCAAAGTGGGTGGTCTGGGCCGCCTTCCCATCCCCCTCCCTCCCCCCGAGTCCCCTTTCTACCATTCCATGCCAAGCCTGTCTCCCATCTCCAGACTCTGACTTCCAGACGATTCAGCTGCTTCCTTGGCCCCTTGCCTGACACCCTCATATGGCTGTTCTCTCTTTTTGGCTCAAGACCTCAGGAGACTCCTCCTCCTCCTCCTCCTCCTCCTCCTCCTCCTCCTCCTCCTCGACAATCCTCTGCTCTGGCATACTCCTCTGACTGTTTCTGCAGGATCAAGCTAGGCTCGGTGGGAACCTTAAGGATGACGGGACACAATAGCCTCTGTAGGAAGCCCCTAACCCAGCCATGGAAGCAGAAAGCTGCTCAGAGGCAGACACGCCAGCAAACACTTGCTCATACTAGATGGAACCCTGGGAGCACCAGGACTGGTTTCCTTTCCCTCTTAGACACTCTAGAGAGACGGTCATGACTTCTCAGATGCCCTTCATACCTGACCTGGGAGTCCCTCGCTGCCCGGTGCTCGTCTGCCTGTTCACCAATGCTCAGGGCTGACCAGCCCCTAAGCAGAAGCGTTCCCCTTCATTTTTGTCCCTCCCTCTCTTCCCCACCAAGCAGAGCGAGCCTACCCGAGAAGACGTGTTCAAAGCCGCTCGAATCTCCTTCTTCACTGCCTCTTGAGTAGAGCCCAAACCACATGTTCCTCAGATCGTCCACGAACTCTTGTTCGGAGCTGTAGCGGTCTGTGGAGAGAAAAACAAAAGACTCTTTGGCGAGGAAGTGGGTCAGTCCCGGGAAGCAAGGGAGAGTACCTGCCCCGGTGCATCAGGAGAGATGGGGGTTCAACAAATGTGACCAGATGCTCATTCTGCACAGTCAAGGGCCCGAGGAGTACACACACATCCACACACCCCCCCCCACACACACACACACCCCAAAGACAGTCTGTCTCTACAGTTTGCATTGCAGGGAAAGGCATGAATAATAAACAGAAATAATAAATGATATCTCAGATAAATATGAAGACTACCCCATAACAACTAGAGGAGGAGGTGGGAGCCAGGAATACCGTGTGTTGTGTGGTTTGGGGTTTAGGGTATTGTTGGTTTTAGATAGGGTCTCATTAGGTAGCCCTGGCTGTTCCAGAATGTGATATATAAACCAGACTGGCCTTGAATTCATAGAGCTCTGCCTACTTCTGCCTCCCAAGTGCTGGGATTAAAGGGGTGTGCCATCACATCTGGCCTCTCTAAAGCTTGCTAGGAACTTAATAACTCCTATAACAAAATTAAGATGTAGGACCTCCAGAAATAATTAGGGAGCAGGGTGCTATGGCGCACACCTTTAATCCCAGCACTCGGGAGGCAGAGGCAGGCGGATCTCTGTGAGTTTGAGGCCAGCCTGGTTGATACAGTGAGTTCCAGTACAGTCAGAGTTATAGAGAGAGACCCTGTCTAAAAAAATAAACAGACAAACAAACAAAAAAACAGTTATTGGAGCTGGGTTGTGGTGACATATGCCTTTAATCTCAGCACTCGGGAAGCAGAGCCAGGCGGATCTCTGTGAGTTCAAGGCCAGCCTGGTCTACAAAGCAAGTTCCAGGATAGGCCCCAAAGCTACACAGAGAAATCCTGTCTTGGAAAAACAAAAACAAAAACAAAAAAACGGTGATTGGGCTATGAGGTTCTGTCCAACGACTGAATTAATGCCATTCTGTGGGGGTCCTCACTGAGTGGATGATTTCCTTTAAATTTTAAAGTTTAAAAAGATGAGTTTAGAGCTGGGTGTGATAGTAAAGCCTGTAGTCCCTTGGAAGCTGAAGGTCACCCTCAGTATACAACGAGTTCAGGGCTAGCATGGATCACAAAAGACCCTTTCTAAAAATAAGCAACAACAAAAATAAACTCAGCTCTTCTGCCTTTCTCTGCATTCCTGCACGGATGTCACGGCACTGAGGCTCTTGGGAGATGCTGCCCCACCATTTCTAGAACTATAAACCAATATATTCCTGTGTTATAAATTCCCCAGGCTGATAGTTTGTTACATCAGCATAATACACACTAAGACACGGGACCTGGAGAAGAAGGAGGCACCAGATGGGTGCTCACACACTCCTGTAATCCTAGTACTTAGGAAGTAGAGGCGGGAGGGTCATGAGTTCAAGGACCCAAGGCAAAAACTTGGGGAGGGGGGCACTGACCAGACACCCGAAAGATAAGGACTTCTCCAAAAGATTCTAAGGAAACATTTCCAGAGCACAGTGAGCAGGAGGGAGAGAGTCTGAGAAGGAGGCAGCGCTCAGAGCCTTCGAGGAGGTCAGACCCACTCCGACTAGTAATAATAGAGGAATACCGAGGCTCTGGGGAGCATTTGCTGCATTCTCAGTGCCGTTTCAAATGCTTCTGCACAGCGATGCTGAATCTTCACATAATTAATGACGCTAAGCAACCTGAACTCAGAGACAAGGAAACCGAGTCAGACAAAATTTACAAAACTCAGGCGAGAGGACACACACTGTTAGCCTCTGTGCTTGGGCCCACGCAGTGTGGCTCTAAAGATGGACCTGTTACAACTCGATGGTCTCTTTGTGGTGGACAATGGCCTGTTTGGTTTTTTGCCAATTCACTCAAGCTGTAGAGTCAGCTGAGAAGGGGGACCACAGCTGAGAAAATGCCTCCGTCAGATTGGCATGTAGGCAAGCCTGTGAGGCATTTTCTATTTGTATGTTTGCTTATTTTTCGAGACAGGGTTTCTCTGTGTAGCCCTGGCTCTCCTGGAACTCACTCTGTAGACCAGGCTGGCCTCTAACTCACAGAGATCTACCTGCCTCTGCCTCCCAAGTGCTGGAATTAAAGGTGCGGGCCACCGCCACCTGGCTGCATTTTCTTAATTGATGATTGATGTGGAAAAGCCCAGTCCACTGTGGACAGCGCCACTCCTGGGCAGGTGGTCCTGGGGTGTATAAAAGAGTATACACAATAAGTGAGTGAGCAGTGGTCCTCCATGGTTTTTTAGCCAAATCTTGCCTCCAGGTTCCTGCTCTGACTTCGCTCAGTGATGAGCTGTTACTTGAAGTGCAAGATGAAATAATCCCTTTCCTTCCCAAGCTGTTTTTGGTTATGGTGTTCTGTCACAGCAAGAGAAACCTAACTAAGACATAGAAGATGAAGGGGTCTTGGGGGGTGAGGGGCAATTATGTGGCATGAACTTGGTTTAAAGGGCCACCCTGGCTGTGTATGCAACTAAGGTTTAATGGGGGTCACACAGGCAAAAGCAGAGGGACCAGTTTTAAAGCTAATGGTTTGTCTGTAGTAAGCTGGTGGTAACTCTCACCGGCAGCAGCAGAGAAGAAAGGGAAGAGGCAAGCACATCTGGAATATGTTTTGAAAGTGGAAGAGATGGACATTACTGACCGGGAAATGAGAGTCGGGGAAACAGAAAAATCAAGTCTATCTGCTGGGCTGGGGTTGCAAGCTCAGTGGTAAACTGACTGCCTAGCATGCAGAAACCAATCTAGATCTAATCTACACACACACACACACACACACACACACACACACACACACACACACGCACGCACGCACGCACACACGCAGATACACATACACACGCATAAACACACCGACACAGATACATCCCTAACTCCTGGGCTTTTTGCATGAGAACTGGATGGATTGTCCTGGTGATTAGAGGATGAGCCGACCTAGAGAGGAGCAGGTCTGAGAATAGGAGGAACAGTGAGTTCTCTTTACACTGTGTTATGTAAATAACAGATAGCCGAGCGGGGCTGTTGAAAAGGCCACTGAGCCCCAAGAAAAGGTCAGAGCTGAAGTTTTAAATCAGGACTTCCAGAATTGTGTGGAGGATCCAAAACAGATACCAGGAATATTCTCTCCTTTCAAGGACTTAAAACACTGTTGGAAAACAAGACAGAGTGGACACGAACAGAGCCGTTTCACAGACCAAATAGTTACCCTTATTAGTACTTGCTGGGTGTCCTTCTTTGATGCTTTGGAAGCATCAATCTTCAAAGCCCTTAAGTCACAGATAAAGACCAGGAGAGGTCACGACGGCACTGCTCATGTGCATAGCCTGCCGCGTGTTGCTAAAACCATATCCCTGCAACCGTGTAATTTATACTGAACACAAGTTTGGTTAGCTCACATTCTGGAGTCTAGGAAATCAAGTAGCAAGGGCTGGCATGTGAGAAGGGCCAGGCAAAGCAAGCATACTAAAGAGAGCCGATTCTCTGACAGAGTACTCTTGATACTCCATGAATCCGTAGTTAGAGTCACGTCCCAAAGTTTCCACCTCTAGCTAGCATTAACGCACGGCACTAGAGATTACGGTTTTAATACGTGACATTTGGGGGACGCCCTTCAACTCTAACACCGGACTCACACCAGTGGTAACAGAACCAAGTGCCAAACCAAGTCTGTCTGTCTGAGCTATTTTGGGCTGTGTCCGATCTCTCAAACTCTGATGAGATGCATCGTGAACCATTGGGGCTTTCGTAAATGTAGCAGGCTAGTGGGATGTGGGCGAGGGAAAGGGGATGAGTGCTGGGAAGCCTGTTCTGGGTACTGGAAGGCAACTTCTGGCTCCTTGCTCACTTGGTCTTCCAGGCTGGCTAGATGTCTGTTCTCTTGCTGAAAACCAAGGGCTTATAATAACGTCTCCTGGTTCGAAAACTGTGGGTCGACACCCTGATGGCAAGTCTCTGTCTCCAAAAACATTTACATACGATTCAAAACAGTAGCAAAATTACAGCTACAAAGTAGCAACAAAAATGATTCTATGGTTGGGGGGGGTCACTACAGCATGAGGAACTGTACTAAAGGGTCGCAGCATGAGGAAAGCTGAGAACCACCTGTCTGCCGTGTGTTTACCACGGAGCAGACACCAGAGGGCATCACAGGATCGCATGTGTCTTAGAGAATCCCGCAGGCGGTTCACCTCTAACAACAGCGTTAGTAACTCTGTTGTCTAAGGTTGCAGACAGAAAGTAGCAGGTTTGTCTGGATTCGGTCCCCAGGGACATGGAGGGAGACCTATACAGATCTGCCTCTGAGACAGAGTCCAGCTTGCCAGCGTTCAGGGAAGGAATCTGGAAGACACTAACAAACAGAACCCAGAGCCAATAAGTCCCAAAGCCAAAACCTTTTTTGGTCTGATTTGCATGGATCTGTGTCTGGAGGTGGTCCGCCCAGACCACTTCCTAACAGAATGGTACTCCTTGGGCTCTGCTGAGTCTCTGTTGCTGCCCAGGAGAAGGAGGCGTGGAGAACTCCACTTACTCAAATGTACGGCTTCTGACGTGACTCTGGGATCCATGAGATGACTAAAAAGTGTCCAGAGTGGGGGTAGAGATGGGGTGGGGGGCTTGTTCCCTTCAGAAGGTAGGAAACTCACAAAATGACTGACATTCAGTCAAAAGATGGGTAATCTAAGCAAGCAAGCCAGCCAGAAGGTCCCTCATCTCCTGCTGGGGCCCCCATCTCTGAAGTTTCCTTCTAGCCTTGTCCTTGACCCTTTCTGGCTGTTACTGGCTTCCATACAGTGCCCCCAGCTCCATTACCTGCTCCGACACCACCGCCGCTGCCGCCACCACCACCAGAGACCTCTCCTGGAGACACACCTCACCCCACAGCCTTGTGCAGCCGGGAAGGCTCACTCACTTTGGTGATGGAGAAAGCCATAGAGCTCCTTCATGACAGCTGTCTTCATGACCTCCCTGAGGAAGACAGCCTGCTCCTCCAGCTGCTGGGCACTGAAGTGTTCCCCATGGCCCGTGGCCCGCTGATAATTGTTGAGCAGGTTGATAAAAGCTGCATAGGTGGGCTTGGAGAAGAGCTGCTCGTTGACGTAAGTAAAGAGCCTGCGGCAAATGGATGGAGACCCATTAAGAGGCCTGAACATGCAGTAAAAACTCTCCCAGAATCTTCTAGACAGGCAGGGGCAGCACACAGAGATGGGCTCAGGGTTCAGGAGCAAAGGCAACTTGGGGTGCTTTTGAAAGCCAGCTATGAAGTCTGTCTTCTTTCACGTCACCCCTTGGAAGATCAGCATTATCCTTAGCCTGGCCAGCCACAGAAACCTTCTGGCTGTACACCCACCTACCCTCAAGATGATTTCTTTGTTTCTGAACATTAATTTTTTCCCCCTTCTCCCTTTGAGCTTGCTTGACTTGAGGGGCAAGATCTGAGGCATCAAAGGAAGCGCGTGTGGAGGAGAGATAGGGTGAAGGGTTGGAACTAGTGAGAGGCACTCACGGCTCGGGGCAACGATCCACTCGGTTTCCTGTCTCTGACGGGGAGACACGGTTTTGACTGTTGAGGACAATGTCTTCCTTCTGGGCTTTATTGGTATCTACCCTGTAGATCACCTCAGAGATACTCTGGAGTTCCTCGTTGGTTATGGCGTCGCTGCTATGGGAGAAGCCCTCTAAGAGGAATTGGGAGAGGGAAGGTCTGAGAGGCAGAGGGAGGCAGGTTACCAACTGTCTGAAGATCAATGGCATCCACCTCTTGGCCCCTTCTGGAAATTTTTTTCCAGTGAGGGAGAACACCACCCAACGCTTTGCAGTTAGAGGGCAGGACAGTAAAAGACCCTTAAGGCCATCGTGTGCTCTGTTGCCATGGTACGCACAGAAAGTCCATAGCGCCCTTTTGCACTAAGAAAGGTCTCGAACTGAGGCAGGCATCAGAATCCCCTGGAAGGTTTAGAGCCCAGTCCAGAGTTTCTGGGCAGAAGGTCTGGGGCCCAGGCCTAGGTCTGCTCGCTTCTCCTAAGGGTTCTCAGATGCTCCTGGTGTTGCGGGTCCAAGGACCACACCGGGAGAACTCCGGAGAGTTCCTGTGCGTCTGGGGCTACGCTGACGGAGCAGACTGACCGTGGTCACCACACAGGCTGTCAAAATCTTCACAGCAGTTCCCGAACTCTTGGCATCGGTCATTGCAGTGGCAAGGGTGGTGCCTGTCATAGGCTTCCCGGCAGCGGCCCTGGCAGGAGTTTGGTGCAGAGTACAGGTCTAAGAGGACAGAAAAGAGGGTGTGTGTATGTGTGTTCTTGGCAACCTCTAGAGGGTGTGTTAGGAGCCTAAGGTCCAAACCTTCTACCCACACCCACAGCTGGGCTCCCTGCTAAAGGTCTCCTGGGGGAGGCGAGGGGGGGCTGGGGGGGTCAGCTTAAGCCTCTGCACACCCTGCAGTCAGGAAGTCCTTTGCTTTCTGATGTAGGGCTCTGCTCTCTGCCTCTTGTTTTTATAATCTCCCCACTCTAAAAATAAAACCTCTTCCACTTCCCTCCCCAGGCCTCAGATGCTTTCCTGGCCACCCCTCCCCCTTGGCGGTGTGGATCACACCAGCGTCTCCCCTGGGCAGATCCAGCCTCGTTCTTCCGGCTTAGGGCTGGGTCCTTGCCTCTGATGTGGCACCCTCTCCCCTTGATACCCCTGCTGTCCTATCTGGGGTTCAGGCTTACAGCTGGCTGGGATCTCATCCTCTGGATCCAGGAATGCCTTGGGCTCTGGGGGGCCTTCTTCAGCTGTAATGTAGGAAAATAAAGTTACCAGCCATCCCAGGAGTTCCCTCCAGCTTCGGCCCTGGTTCCGGGTTCCCACCTCGAGGCAAGCATGTATATGGAAAGGGTATGTGGACAAACCTCTGACACTGAATGCTGAGGGCTGAAAATGGAAGGTATTTCCAGGGTCCGATTACTGAAAACTTAGGAAAAACAAAAATATTCTCCCCCCCACCCCACCCCACCCCCCCCACCCCCCGCCCCCGTGACAAATTTCCTACCATTTTGTCATTTGATGTTCACTGTGCTCAAAAGAACTAAAAAGAAAAGTATGTAAAAAGAGGAGGAAGAGGCGGGGGAGTCCCTTCTGGACTGAAAACCAATTTGAGTTACCACATATGAATAGAGCATTTCAGCATTCTCCAAATGACAAGGCTCTCCATTCAGAACATCCTGTTCCTATTAAGAGAGTTGAGGGGAGACCCACCTCTCCCTGGGGGTGGGCTGGGCAGGTGTTAAGTATTGTTGAAGCACTGTAAAAATCTGCTCAAAATCACTGTTAATGGTAGGGATATGTTCTAGTTCTTACTGCAAGCCGTCCTTCAGATGTTTTCCTGTAAAGCAGCGGGGGATGGGCGGTTTGACTCCCTAACTGGCAGCTGTTCGTTCTCTCTCTCGATGTCTTAGATGCTCAGGTTAAAGGTTCATGAAACAGCTAGCCACTCTAGCCCCATGCCAGCTCCAGCGTGTGGAGGAAACTACTTGATCACGGCAGCTACTCACTCCAGCTCCGGAAGCCACTGTCCCAGGCATGTCCATTTCAAAGAGTTTGCACCGCACTTTGTGAATTCACAAGTGTCTATGAACTCAGCTGACTCTACCACAATCTCTCCCCAAGCCAGAGGTAGACATTTCCCCTGCTGGCCTAACCCAGCTTAACGGTGGGTCACAGCCTCATACAGGGTCATATAGCTGAATGTGGGGTCATGAAGAATTTGCCAACAGTAAAATGTTTCTGAGCAGGCAATGGCCAAAAATTAAACCCCAAAAATCAAACATGTAATGAATCTGAGGTGTTATGGCAGGAATCGTGTGTCATGTGACCTCTCTGCATCTTTGGTTCTGAACATACAGTATGCACTGCACATGTGGTCACACCACCCAAGGCCAACAATCACCGCCAGCACAGGTCTGCTCTGGTGAAGAACTGCGGTCTGTTACGAATTGCAGTGTCCTTTGTTTTAATGTTGTGTGAGACAGGCCCTCAGGTAGCCCAGGCTGGCTCTGAACTCACTAGGTAGCTGAGGATGGCCTTGAACTCCTAGGCCTTCTGTTTCTACTTCCCAGATGCTAGGGGTTACAGGCCTGCACTGTCATATATGGCTGTAACAGTAAATGTTCGATATGTATACCTGCTTTTTTTTTTTTTTTTTTTTTTTTTTTTTTTTGGTTTTTCGAGACAGGGTTTCTCTGTGTAGCTTTGCGCCTGTCCTGGAACTCACTTGGTAGCCCAGGCTGGCCTCGAACTCACAGAGATCCGCCTGGCTCTGCCTCCCGAGTGCTGGGATTAAAGGCGTGCGCCACCACCGCCCGGCTTGCTTTTTATAGCTGTGTGCCCAGAGTCACATAAAAGTCTCGCAGGCGTAAAGGAGTCCCGAGCAGAGGAAGGAATGATTGTAAGGATCTCAAAGGGACGATGGATGCAGTGTCTAGAGTCAACACCACGCTTTAGCTGCGTGGGAGGTTTGCTGTGACTGGAGCCAACACCCCTTCTCCTCCAGTTATAACATCAGGCTTCATGAGCTAGGGGGAGACACCTACCTGTCCTGGGGCTGTGACATTAAACCCAACAAAATGCCTCTCCTGAGCATTTCCTTTTCTACTTTTAGGAGAGGGGCTGAGCTGAACCCAGATCAAAAGGCAGCAGCAACTGGGCTGGGAAAAGAAGCCATCGGCGGCGGCAGCCAAGAGGACAGGCGGGCTGCAGAGGCGATGGGCAGAAGGGGACCATGGGAAACGTGCTAGCCTTGAGACAGGCATTCTTAGCTCCTGGAAGGAAGGAAAGGCGGGGCCCATTGTGGATCATGAGACATGTGACCACTCCCTTGATTGGACCATGAACACAGATGACCTTTCCTGTCGGGCCAAAGAACCCCGCATAAGGTATGTGAACTTCTCACTGGTTGGGGCCTGCCATGCGCTCAGACTTACCAGTCTCAGTAAAAATGACCTCAGTTCCAATCTACGTCTCATAAGAGGTCACCAAGTGGGGAACAAGGCGACATGGTCGTATCCCTGACCCGTGGAGCCCCCTCCCGCTTTCTAGAGTCGTCCTCACCTTATTTAATTTCTCAAATTAATACGTTCACATTCCTTTACGGTGCTGGCCCCTTATCAGCCTTTCCTTACTCTCCTTGGATGCGAAACAACGAACTAGAGGAGGAGCCCGCCAGAAAATGAGTTTTCAAGGGCTGGAGAGACGGCCCGACAGTTAAGAGCAGTTGCCCCTCCAGGGGAAGATGGGTTCCCAGCGTCAAGTGGCCTGCAGCTGCCCATATCAGTGACAGGGGATGTACAAAATGATTCGTCAAACGTTCCCCTCGCTGGGCCTGCTGCCCTACCCACTTGGCTAGGCTAAAGCAGGAGGATCACGAGTTCAAGGACAGCTTGTGCTACGCAGGGAGCTCAGAGCTGACCTCGGGGACTTAGTTATATCCTGTCTCAAAAGAAAAAAGCAGAAAATGAGCTGAGAATACAGCTCAGCGGAGGAGCGCCTGCCTCGTATATCTGAGACCCGTGGCCCGATCCCTGGTACAGAGGGGGGAAATGCACTTACGTCTGTGCCTGTGGAGAAACCGATGGCCGTTTGGGGAAAGGCAGGCCTTGTTGTTTGTTTTGTTTTGTTCTTATTTTGAGACAGGTTCTCACTATGCATCCCTGGCAGGCCTGGAACTCCCTCTGTAGACCAGGCTGGCCTGGAGCTCACAGAGATCCACCTGCCTCTGCCTCCTAGAGTGCTGGGATTGGAGGTGTGGGCCACCAGTCCTGCATGGGAAGGCCAGTGTAAAGCAGGGACTGCTCAGGTCCCTCCCTGGAGAGGCATGGTCTGTGCTATGACAGTCACAGCGGCCCTACAGTCCTCCCCACGTCACTCAGGTTGTGAGTGCTGCTGAGTGCTGCCTACCGTTTACGTGTGTTCTTTCCAGTGTGACTAAGAGTGAACAATATCATGCCGGGCGGTGGTGGCGCACGCCTTTAATCCCAGCACTCGGGAGGCAGAGCCAGGGGGATCTCTGTGAGTTCAAGGCCAGCCTGGTCTCCAAAGCGAGTTCCAGGAAAGGCGCAAAGCTACACAGAGAAACCCTGTCTCGAAAAACCAAAAAAAAAAAAAAAAAAAAAGAGTGAACAATATCATATGTGCTAAAGTATCATTTTGTTACTTAAACTTTCAAGATATTGCTTTCTGTTTTGTTTTAAGATTTATTTATGTATTATGTGTACAATGTTCTGCCTGCATGTATGCCTGCAGGCCAGAAGAGGGCACCAGATCTCAATGCAGGTGGTTGTGAGCCACCATGTGGTTGCTGGGACTTGAACTCAGGACCTCTGGAAGAGCAGCCAGGGCTCTTAACCTCTGAGCCATCTCTCCAGCCCTGCTCAAGATATTGTTAATCCTGATTGTTCCCTCGGATCCTCAGGTCAATAGCATCTGCCCTACTTTAATTTAGGAACTTCCTAGAAGACCTGAGACTAGCGACGACCCTTGTCTCTGCCCTCCACACTCTCCTACTGAGACCTGGAACCCTCTCCTCGGTCACTGGCCTTGCTCTGGACTTCTGGACACCGGTCCGGACTTGTCCACAGCCTGGCCTGCTGTGCCTCCCAAGCCTTCAACCCACAAGGTACCTCACCATTGCACAGACGCCCATAGTCATCACAGCAGTCGTCATGCTGGGGACATCGGCGATCACACTGGCAGACAGCATCCCGGTTAAATTTCTCATTGCAGCGAGATGCACACGACTCCAGGCTTCCTATGAGGGTCAAGACGGCCAATTCAGCGCTTCAGGAATCCCAGGCTTCACCAAGACTGCCCGTGCAAGAGGTCTCAGGGAAGGAAAAAGCAGGTCATTGCTGCCTACAGGACAAGCATGCCTCCCAACTCAGTATAGGCCTTCCCCACTCTTAGCCTGCCTGGCAGGACCTAGGCTCGGAGCACCAACCAGGAGGACCTGGGCTCAAGAGCACCAACCAGGAGGACCTGGGCTCAAGAGCACCAACCAGGAGGACCTGGGCTCAGAGCACCAACCAGGAGGACCTGGGCTCAGAGCACCAACCAGGAGGACCTGGGCTCAGAGCACCAACCAGGAGGACCTGGGCTCAGAGCACCAACCAGGAGGACCTGGGCTCAGAGCACCAACCAGGAGCTCAGACTCAGGTGCCTGTTGGAGGGCCCAGTGATGGAAACAAGCAAAGAAGCGCCATGTGAGAAATAAAACGATTGTCACAAACTCAACAGGGATAGCCTGGCTGGAGTCCACAGCCGCTTCCCAGCCACAAGAGATGTAGCCAGAGCCTCCAGACTGCCAAAAGAAACCTTCACTGGGGGGTGAAAATGTCTCAGATTTTAAACTGCCAACAGGCTGAAGAAAGAGGTCTGCGGCCAGGACGAGGGTCCTGGGCCTGTCCTGTAGAGGAAGAGCCCCGCTGCTGCTGCAGTAGTGCGTCCCCCACTCCCTAGGCCACCCCTCTCTGCCCCTCCCCCCGCTGTTCTTCATTCTCCCTCCTTCACCCTTTCTTCTGCACCCGATTTCCCCATGTCACAGCTCTGCTCCTTCCAGCCGCTGGAATGCATTCTGTGCTTGGGTGGGGAATGAGGCCGATGTGGGTGAGAACTGGGCTTTGGGACAGGATTCTGTTATGCAACCACAGACCACATCCCTCGCTCCAGACAAACCGTTTACAGAAGCAAGCTTTTGGTCACAAGGGGCATATGACCAGAACTTTTGTTTTGTTTTGGGTTTTTTGGTTTTTTTTGTTGTTGTTGTTGTTTTTTTTTTTTTGTTTTTTTTTTTTTTGTTTTTTTTTTAGGCAGGGCTTCTCTGTGTAACCCTGGCTGTCCTAGAACTCACTCTGTAGAACAGGCTGGCCCTCAGGAGGTAGAGGCAGGCAGATCTCTGAGTTCGAGGCCAGCTTGGTCTACAGAGTGACTTCTAGGGCAGCTAGGGCTGTTACACAGAGAATCTTGTCTCAAAAACAAAAACACCACAAAAAAAAAGACAAAAACAAAAACAAACCAAACCAAACAAACAAAAAAACGACCACAAGAGTCAGAACTGCCATGAGCATCTGGATTGGGCCAATGAGGAAATACAAACCTAACTTAGACCAGGGCTGGTATTGGCCTTGAATATAGAGCGACAGTGGGGAGGAGTTTGTGCTAAGCTGATCGATAACATAACAATTTTGTATTGCTATTTGGGTAAGGAATGGAGTAAGATTAAACTCAATTTAGAGCTGAGCATGTACCAGCACCAGATCTGAGTTTTGTCTCAGGTTAGACTTGGGGTTGGGATTACGTCATGCCTAATGAGGGGTACACAGCAAGAGAAGCTGGACTCTGGTACCCAGCTGCCTGAGCTGGAATCTTGGTTATAATGGTATTCAGCTGTGTGATCTTGGGCAAGTTATTTTACTTTCTGTGCCTCTGGTCCCTTATCTGTAGAAATAGGAAAAAATAAGCTGGGCAGTGGTGGAGCACATCTTTATTCCTAGCACTTGGGAGGCAGAGACAGGAGGACCTCAGTGAGTTCGAGGCCAGCCTGGTCTACAAAGCGAGTTCCAAGACAGCCAGGACTACACAGAGAAACCCTGTCTCGAAAAACAAAAAAACAAACAAACAAAAAAAGAAATAGGAAAAAATTAGAGTCTATCTCATAGGATATGCATAAGAAGTAAATGAGTTGGGGTCGGGGATTTAGCTCAGAGGTAGAGCACTTGCCTAGCAAGCACAAGGTCCTGGGTTCGGTCCTCAGCTCCGGGAAGAAAAAAAAAAAAAGTAAATGAGTTAACCTTGGCAAAGCGCTTCCTGTGGGGTGTGACACAGAATAGAGCCATTTCAGTCTTTGTTATGTAAATAAACAATGGCCACATTCCATGTCCATATTGGAGATGGCAAATATCCAGACTGGCTTCAGCAATCATCCCCAGTTAGGGAACCTGTCCGTAAACTACATTGCCTGACTCCCTCCCCCAGTTCCACTGGGCCATGCTGTGAGCTGGGTTGTTAGCACACGTGCTTCGGGGTGGTTTACCAGCTGACACCATTCGTCATCATAAGTCTATCCTTTGCATCAGAGAGGTGTTAGGTCAAGGTTAAACCAGGTCCTGAGGCCATTGCATATCGTGTGCAGGGCCTCCAACATATCCAGGAAGACAGGGCCTTGGTCCGGTAGATTGTCCTAAAGGAGGCCAAGCCCAAGGCCACTTTCCCATCCAAGCACACAGGGAACCCTTCATGAATCTTAAGTCGTCTCTCTTGGCACCTAAATGCTAAGGTCTTAAGAAAAAGTGTTCAGTGCAGGAGGAAGGCTGGGTCAGCTGCTTGCCTCACCAGCCTGGCAGAACACCCAGAGTCCAGAGGGAGAGAATGTAAGCAAGTGGGGGTCTTGTTCTTAATGGGCCACGGAGGCAGAGTCCAAGAATGGAATTTGCTCTGTTTGAGGACTGGCAGGGATTGAGAAGGACAAGTGAATAGCTGGCCATGGAGTTCAGGAGAGGACTCCCACTGGCCCATGCTGCGTGGATTTGTCATCTCTGCCTCGGAACTTTGTCCCCAGTAAGAACCTGATGCCAGCAGGTCTCACATTCCTCCGTGAGTTTTTTTTTTTTTTTTTTTTTTTTTTTTTTGCCTCAAGGTAACCTTGGGACATGGGGGTGGCAGGCGCAGGTGGGAGTTTTCATTACAGGAACCTCCCTGTGCTGTCCTGGCGACACTAGATGACTCCTCATTCTGACTCCGGGCCCCCACCCAGTGTCTCCCTTTGACACAGAGCCTTTGTATAGGCCTCGCTCACCAGGCCAGAGCCCTCATCCCTACTCCGGCAGCCTCTGCCCCTTGAGCCTCCGCCCCATCTCTCCCTTTCCTCTGCTTTTCTTCACTTCTGCCTCTCCTCTCAGGCTCAGATTTTCCTACCCCTCTGCCTTCAGAACTCTGATTCCTTCCCCTGTGAAAAGCTACATTTCTCTGCATCCTCTCAGACCTCAGCACACCACAACCTTCACACTCTTTCTCCGCTGCCCGTCAGGAAAGGCTGGCACCAAGCCTGGATGGACACAGGATCCCTGTATGTCAGCCCTCGGGCCCTTTGACAACTGAAGCATCCTCACACGTTTGTCTCTCAGGGAATCCCAGATGTTATTTCCATGGAAACCAAACCTAGTGAACCAAAACCTTCATCTCCAAGACCAGCTTCCTGCCTCTGTTCACTGGAAACAGCCAAGGCCTTGGGAGGCACCTGGCTGATAGATCATGGCCTGCACCTGACCACGACTCCTGGTGTGGCTCATCCTTGGGTATCCAAGTCTAAAGGTGCTGGATGCTAGGATAGAACTAACAGGAGTGTTGTTTTTAACAACATCTCAATCATTCGATTTTACCAGTAGAGACTCGGGAGCCAGATGCTGGGGTGAAAGCCTGCTAGCTCGGAGAGGCAGAGAAAGCACCCAGCTGACCTTTCTCCTCCACCGATGTCCCAGAAGCCTTCCTTTTTCTCCTACGCCATCTCTATCAAGACTCATGAAACTCAACTGACTCCCGAGTCTTTACCGGTAAAATCAAAAGATTGAAATTTTGTTAAAAACAACACAGCAGCAGAGATTCTCTGCTACCTCCTGGTGTATCTGCACTCTACCTCACTTCCCATCCACCTCACAGCAGAGGCTAACCAACGCTTTCACCCTCAGGGACCTCCTCCGAGGACCGGATGCCTCCTGTGCAGTCCTCTCCTGGGGCTGGCATATCCCCAGCCCTCTGACCACCCTGCCACCCTGGTTAGTCCCACACGCCCTCCTCCGTTCCTTCAATGAGCAGACCTGAGGTAAGGTCCCATGCCTACCTACCCTTCCCTCTCCTCCTCTTCCTTTCTAGACCCAGGACCCAGGCAGAGCGGAGTCCTCAAAGAGGTGCATGCAGTGTGGAGAGCCATGGGAACAGCTTTTTCCTCAACGGCTTTTCTGTTTAGAAATCACACTTAGGGTCTTCTCCCTTTACACACCCTGATGGGGAATGACACCAGCAGTCAGCTCCTCCTAGAAACAGTCGTGTTAAAACCCTGACAAGGGCCGGGCGGTGGTGGCGCACGCCTTTAATCCCAGCACTCAGGAGGCAGAGACAGGCGGATCTCCATGAGTTCGAGGCCAGCCTGGGCTACCAAGTGAGTCCCAGGAAAGGCGCAAAGCTACACAGAGAAACCCTGTCTTGAAAAAACCAAAAAAAAAAAAACCCTGACAAGTTCCAATGGGCCGAGCCCTGGCTTGGTCCTCCCGCTCTACCTCCTTTGAGCCTTTCAACAGTCCAAGGCAGGAGCACCCTGGGAGGGCGGAACTGCAGGAACTCTGACTCTCCTGGGGCAGAGGAGGATGCTGCCCACACCCCTCCGCTCAGCCCTCTCCCTTGCCGCCCTCCTCCTACCACCCACTAATCACTAATTAACACAGCAGCAGCAGCAGCAGCAGCAGCTTTTTGCACAGTTACTAACAGGAAAGCATCCCTTTCCTTTTCCAGCACCTGCCTCCTTTGCCGGCACTCCCCGAAAGTGCAGGCCACATCCCTTCTCTCCACTAGTCAGCTCCCCTAACCTGGGACAAAACCCATTCCTCTAACCATGTGTGTAGTCCCAAATGGGACAGGGTTCATCTCTGAGTCAGGGGCTTTCCTCCCGAGCCCACCCACCTCCTAACGCCCACCTATGGCCAGGCAGCAGAGGAGGGAGTGTCGAAGGGTAACCAGGCAATCCCAACTCAGCAACCTCCTTCCCTCTTACACCATGTCGTGGCCCCGGGGAAAATAAAAGCTTGGCCAAGTGTGGCGTCTGGTTATTCTAGTGATGGTAGCTCTGATCCCCCAAGGCCTCAGCTCTGCTCTGATCCCCCAAGGCCTCAGCTCTGCAATTCCTCACATCACCAGCCAACCTCAGAGACACAGATCCTGTAACCTCAACCAAGGACAGGTCAAAGTGGTCCAGTGGGTTAGGACAGCATTTAACCTCTGTCGAGTGCCCCAGCCCTCGGGCCTTTAAGCAACCCATCTGACACCCGTGCCCGCCAGAGAATGACTTACCAGCCCAGGCCAGGCCACAGAGCATGGCCACCAGCAGGGAGACACAGGCCTTCATGATGCCAGCTGCCACAGACTGGCCGTGGGACTTCCCACTACAATCAAGGTGTCTGTCACAGTACTCAGATGAACCTTATTCCCCAGGCAGATCCTTTTAAAGACATCAGGACTTGTGGATCTGGTGTGTCTAGATCCCTCCAGGAAGGAAGAGGGAGGGAATGGATCACAGATGGATGGGAGGTGGAGAGGAGGTGGGGAGGAGGTGGGGAGGAGGTGGGGAGGAGGTGGGGCCCCACAGCTGTTTGAAGCCAGAGAAAAGGTGACTAAGCAGGCAGGTAATGCCAGATGTTTAAAGCAGGTAATGCTTGCTATTTGTACCTAGAAAATAGGCCACACTAGCAGACGCAGCAAGATGGACCTAGTTTGGCAGGTTCTTCATTCAAGTTAGGGACACTGATGTGCTCATCTCCGGGTGGCCTACACCCACCTGCCTCCCATCACAGACCTGGCTGGCCAGGAACCGCAAGTCTAGATTGAGATTCGTTGGGATTCAAGGAATTACTGTGGTCATATAGTTCCATGTCACACACAGTGTAGAAACCCCTTCCATAATCCCAAGTGCTTACTGGACTTACACTTGAATGTCTTCACCACTGGGGAGGTTGGGGAACATCCTCTTCAGACTGTTCATCTCTCAGAGATCTCATTCCCAACCCTTAGGACTTTATAACCTGAGATGTGCTGGTATAGATAAAAATTGATAAGGAATATGGGGGGATATCAAGTCACTAATTGAGCATTCATCAACTCATTCATACAGAGATGATTAGTGGAGGAACTCAGATTCCGTGCTGGCTAGTTTTTATGTCAACTCGATACAAGCTAAGGTCATCTGAGAAGAAGGAATCTTAATTAAGAAAATACCACCATAGGATTGGCCTGTAGGCAAATCTGGAGGGCATTTTCTTGGTTGATGATTGATGTGGGAGGGCCCAGCCCACTGTGGGCAGTGCCACACTCGGGCAAGTGGTCCTGGGTTGTATAAGAAATGGGGCTGAAAAAGTCATGGGCAGCAAGCCACTGAGCAGTGTTCCTTCATGGCTTCTTCTTCGGTTCCTACCTTCAGGTTCCTGTCCTGACTTCCCTCGAGGATGAATTGTGACCTGAGAATTCGAAGATGAAATAAACCCTTGCCTCTTCAAGTCGCTTTTGGTTGTGGTGTTTTATCATGGCAATTGAAACCCTAACTGAGACCGATGCTCGTATGTATCCATACACACGCACACAGAGAAAGCAATGCATCTCCAACAGGTTTCTCTCTCTGCTCGCCCATCTAGACAGGAACCCCGCTGCTCCTCGTCCTTGGTTCTCCCTCAGCTAGATGCTCACATAGGCTTCCATCTTGACAAGTTCTTTCCAGGGAGCTCTTTCCATGGAAACTCCAGAAGACTGGGGACCCACGTGGGGAAGGAGCGCAGGAAGACGCCTGATAAAGGGTGATGGGAAAAGAGTGTCACCAGAGATGCTGAAGTGGAGCTGGCACAGTGTGGCCTTTGTGGTGGTGTGGAGGAGGGGGAAGAGGCTGAGTCCGCCAGGGCCAGGGGGCAGGGGGCAGGGGGCTGTCAGAGATGTGGGAAGTGGGTGTCCTGTCAAGTGATTTTTTTTTAGATTTTTTTTTTATTTTTTACCTTATGTACATTGGTGTTTTGCCATGGGGGTTGGGTCCCCTGGAACTGGAGTTACAGACAGTTGTGAGCTGCCATGTGGGTGCTGGGAATAGAACCTGGGTCCTCTGGAAGAGCAGTCAGTGCGCTTAACCGCTGAGCCATCTCTCCAGCACTGTGTTTTCCAGGATGACCATCCTGTGAGCTTCCAGGGACTTTCCTGTCTGTACCACCTCCCATTATCCCCAGAGGGGTTCCGGGATTGCAAATTCAGACACTAACTGTGTTTGGCCTTTCCATGCATTCTGGGGATCCTAACTAAGGTTCTCACATCTTCACAGCAAGCCACCTCCCCAGCTCATGGGCTCGGGCCTTCCTGAAATATTGACTTCTGCTGGTACCGTGGACTCATGATCCCAGAAGTAGTTCACTCATCCTTGGGCTCACTGGGCTACCACTGGGAGCCATGACCTGGCAGGATCCGAGGGTTGAGAGAGACAGACTGGCCCCAGGAATATAAAAGGGGATATACGCCCCCAGCCCAGCCTACTCCACCATGTTGGTCCTGTGAAACCAAAACCAAGTAACATCAACAGGGAGCAGAGCCTGGAAGAACTTCCAGCTGGGCCAGCTCCAGGAGGTCTGGATTACATTTCCAAGGGCACCCCAGGTTCAGCTTCCAAAGGGACCCCAACACCTAAAGATGCCGGCTGTCTAGGCTGCAGCCCAAGAGTCTTCTGGCCCTAGAAGGAAGGCCCAGCACAGTCATCTACATCTGATCTCACTATGGCTCACAACGGCGCACATGTGGTTTCTCTCCTACAGCAGTTTGAACGTTACACAGCACACTCGGCCTTCCACTTGTTCCTTTGAAGTCTGGGGGCAGCCCGACTTTCAGCACCACACTTAACCGCCTGGGCACACTCATCTCAGAGTCCCGGTCTGTGCATATGGTTCAGCTAGCCTCACCCACGCTGACCTCTGCTAAAACGCCCTCGGCTCACTGGCTGTCCATCTACCGCTCATCCTCCAGTCTCCAGGGACCCTTCTGCCATAGACTCTGTTCCAGATGTGCCTTTGGCACATCAGTCACCTCTTCCAGGGTACCAGCTAACCCCTGCGCTGCCACCTAACCTTTTACCCCTCCAGCTGTTTCTCTAGCTTATCTCTGAAATTCCTTGAGATAGGGATCCCAAGTCTTCTTGGCGGCTCGGTACAGCCATCCCACTTGCATTAGCTAACTGTCAATATGTGTCCAGGAAGTCACATATCAATGCATGAAGGAACTGGGCAGTCTTCCACCTTGTCCCTCGTCACTAAGGACTTGAGGGGAGACATTAGCAAAACAGAGGCAGCAGGTGGATTGTCCCGGGCCGTGAAGACTGCAGAGTCTGCACTGAAAGGACTGGGTGGAAGTGGGGTTCAGGGATCCACGCTGAAGCTGTATTTTTATAAGAAAGAACTTCCTAGGCCAGGCGGTGGTGGTGCACACCTTTAATCCCAGCACTCGGGAGGCAGAGGCAGGCGGATCTCTGTGAGTTCGAGGCCAGCCTGGGCTACAGAGTGAGATCCAGGACAGGCTCCAAAGCTGCACAGAGAAACCCTGTCTCGAAAAACCAAAAAAATTAAGAAAGAAAGAAAAAACTTCCTTAGCTATTATGTGTGCATTTGTTTGTGTGTATGCATGTGTTTGTTTTTGACCCAGGGTCTCCTGTAGCCCAGGCTGACCTTGAACTCACTGTGAAGCCAAGGATGACCTTGAATTCCTGATCTTCCATCTCCCAAGTACTGGGGTCTACATGCCAGGGAAGAGCCTCCTGGCCTATAAATTTGTGGCCAATGGAAATCGTGGGTGGAACCTAAACTCTAAGCCCCCTGCGATGGCTGGGTTGTAGCATGTCCCTCGAGGGCTAGCGGTGTGGAGGTTTGTTCCAGGTGTGTTGATGGAGAGGTGGTGGGTCTTTGGAGGCAGAGCACGTGGGAGGTCACTGGGACGCTGTCAGCAGAAGGGATTAAGGGAGTTCCCGGAGGACCCTGATGGCTAGTTCTCCCCAGGGGGGCTGTGATACAAGAAGGAAGCCTGGCCTCTCCGCCTTGTCTAGAGCTCAGATGTCTGGTCTCTACCAGCTCTTCCTGATGATCCCCTGTACCACTGGGTCCTCACCAAAGACTGCAACAATGGAACCACTCCATCCTGCACTTCTAGCCTCGAACCTCTTTCCTAAGCCGGACATAGCATGCCTAAAATCCCGGCACTCTAGAGGTTGAGGCAAGAAAATGTTAAGTATCAAGACGAATGTTTGTTAAACGGTGCATAGTGAAACTTGGTCTCAAGACACCCAAAAACAACAACAAAAATCGACACTTCTTCTCCTTGTAACCTTACCCATTGTCCAGGGCTTTGCTAGAGCAACATCAAACTAACTAACACACCATTTGTGTATTAATCTTGGCACTTCAAGCTTCAAGGAGTGGCCGACACAGGGATAGACAGAATCCCAGGATGCTTCTACATTTATGACCTAACTTGATACACTTTTTTTGGGTTCCAGAGTAATGACTTGCAACACTTGCAGAATGGGAGGCAACTGCGCCAGTGTTTGTATTCTACTCCTCAACAGTGATGATGAAGTGAAATTGCAATTACAGGTCCTCCGCCCGCTTTGGAAAGCACCTAGGCTCAGCACACGCAAAGATGTGGATGGACCTGGCAGACAGAGATAAGCGGCCTCCAGGAGACAGCGAGGCTGTGAGCAAGGTGAGACAAACAAAGGAAGAGACGTGCCCTAGGCTGAGCAGGAGCCAGGTGCTGGCAGGTGGCACCTCACCAGCTTCTTGCCCCAGGTGTGTTGGCACGGGAGAACTGCTCCGCTCTGGCTTCCTAAAGATGGGGACGGGACACCGGACTGGCAGGAGCGGTTCCTGATCCACGCATGAAGACCTACTCTGTCCAAATGACCGTGATTATTGAGCTAGGGAGTCAGGTTATGAGGAATTTCGCCTTCCTCGGGTAGTCATACGTTCGTTCATGCAGCTAGCAGATGGTAAGAATGAAGAGTCACTGTGCCAGACATGTCGGCAGAGCAGGTGCAAGGTGAGCTGCTTGGCATCTGAGAGATGGGAGACGCTGGGGTAATGGTATTTAAGGCTCTGATTTGGGCCACCAGGACACAGTTCGAGGACACTCACTGGTCCTGAAGCCAGGTCACCTCTGCGAACCTTTCGCCACCTGTACAACAACCCTGGGCAATTTCCCTGACCTCTCAGTCCTCAGTTTCCCTTACAGATGCAAAATAAGGGAAGCAAGACCCTGACCAGGCTGCCATCCAGACTGGATGACTTAATACTCGAACCTGTATGTTACAGTGCCTAGCATGTAACAGAACTAGGTAAGTAATCTTTAAAGAATAAGGTAGGGGCCGGGGATGTGACTCAGTAGGCACATGAGTCCTAGAGCCCATCCTAAGCACCTCATAAACTGAGCACAAGGTGAGTGTCCGTGAGTCCAGCACTCTGGAGGCAGCGGCAGGAGGATCAGAAGTTCTAAGTTTAGTAGGAGTGAAAGGGGAACAAGACAGGGTAATGGGGTGATTATGATAAAAAAAATTATTTATATATATATATATATATGAATGAAAATGCCATAATGAAACCAGTTGTTGTATATGATTAATATATGTTGAGAAGAAAAAGAAAAGAGTGTTTAGTGCTCTTGTAGAGGACCTGGGCTTGGTTCCTGGGACCCACATGGTAACTCACAACTGCCTGTCACTCACCCCAGTTCCAGGGGATCTGACGGCCTCTCCTGACCTCCACGAGTTTCTCTGGGCACATAAACTCACACAAGTGCACTTATATACAAATAAGAAACACACAAACCAATCAATCCTTAAAGGAAATTTGCAATCATCCTCAGCTACATGTCAAATTCAAGGCCAGTCTAGAATATTTGAGACCTAGTCTCCAGTGAGAGGAGACTCAATTTATACCGGATGGTTAAGGAAAGCCTCTCTGAGAGAGAGAGAGAGAGAGAGAGAGAGAGAGAGAGAGAGAGAGAGAGAGAGAGGGAGGAGAGATTTAAAAGACATACAGCATGATATGTATTAAAAAATACATGTAAATTTTAAGTGTAAAAATGAAGACTCTTTCTTGTATTTTGGTGCTGGGGTCCAACGGCCCTTCAGTGAGTTCCAGTGCCTCACTCACCTGCTTAGAGCCCTACTTCCGACTTCTGAGGTGCAGCCTGCAGCCTTCGCTTGCTCCCTGGAGGGCCACTGTCCCTCACACTACTGTGGCATACCATTAGCTGTAGTCACCTGAAGCTGCTTGGTGTGAAGACAAGACACAGAGAAGAGGCACCCGAGGGGCCTTTCCACCCCTGGGCTCTCCTTGCAGAACACTGGGTGCATCTCGGGTCTTCCTGGCAGAGTCCAGTGAGCCTGGCTCTGCCTTGCCCCCCTGATTCCCGTCCTGTGATTCCCCAAGCTGCTGCAGCACCCCCTCTCTCCAAGTAACACCCTGGGCCTCACCCCAGGACC